AAATAAGCTCAGTCACAAGACATCTGTGACACCTTTGGACTAAAATTAGCTTTTTCAGGAGTAAATCTTTTTACACCCAGTGGAGGGACTTCACAAAAAAAACATTAATAAAGGGATTGGAGGATCCACAAACCCCCCCTTCTTTTTTTTTGAATCAAAAAGATGGAAGTGCTGCACGTTTGTATACTGTCTGTATTTATTTATTATACATAAAATTGACCTGTGTTTTTGTGTAAACATTAAGACTAAGGCAACATTTTCCATTAAACACCCCATAAAATATTAGGCAAAACTGTAATATACCAAGAAATTCAGCCCTCCCAAAACTTAAATACGAGAGTTTTCAGGGGGAAAAGCCACAGTTCCCTGCTGTGAAGTTGTTTCCCTCTCCCAAACATCTCAAAGAGTAAGTCACAACAGGATGAGAGCGTAAGTCTCTACTGAAAGAAACGCAAGGGATTCCGGTACGAGCACTACCACAGTGGCGTAACACATACTCCAGTATGAAAATGCTGTGTTTTGTGTGTTTTGTGTGCAAGGATCCCATCACCAATACTGGAAATAATTGCACTGTGAATTGCAATGGAATGAGAACAAGCTTTACAGTCAGCGTTCAACATCGACCTTTCTTCCTCTGCATTACTTTTGCAACTTGTTATCAGCCAAGTCCTGATTATCTGCAAGAAAGCAAAGTTCGCGTCAGCATCTGCGTTCCTGGGCTTCAAAGTTTCAGCAACAGCTTTTTGCTGCGACTTCTTTGGAGCCAGTGAACTTGAAGTAATCGCTGATCCACAGCCAATGTTTTATTTCCCATTTTCCTCCATCCTGGGCAGCTCCGGAGCCTGTACATTGGCAGCATAGCTACCATGGGAGGCCTCTACCTCCACCTGCCCGCCCCGACCGGGGAGCTGTGGGGTTCACACAGCGACCATCAACTCGCGGGCACGGAGAACCCACTCCCGCTATTAAATCTTCCTTTTATGCGCTTGTTAACTCACAAAATTTCCACTCCTGCACCTATCGGTGACA